TTGATGGCCAGAAAGAAGGTAATTTATATAAATAGCTCTTATTGGTTTTAACAACGATTGATTTTATGCTTACAATTATTAATTTTTACATGTATGTTTTTAGACTCGGAGATTGTTGTCAGCGCTAACATCAATCTTGTCACACCCGCTATATATAGCGAAAGGGCATCGCTAGAAAGGGCATCGCTAGACTCTGCTTGCTTAGCCGTAGGGGTATGGTAATTTAGTTGTATTAATTTTTTATTATAAATTTACTTTGTATAGGTGACCATATTTGATGCTAAAGTCATATCTCAGTTCATGTTTTCATCTGAGGGAAACATTCCCACCACAAGTGCTACTACTTTGGTAGGTACAGCACATATACAGTCACAGTAAATTATGCCTACATACATGTACATGTACTGGTGACTAATTACTTATACTGTCTATACTGAGTTTGTACTAGTATAAGAGCATTATCAGTAAAATAGAGCATACAAAGAGACATACAGTATAGATGGGAAAATTTGGCAGCACTTAATATTGGTGATTTCATGATTGGAATGTATGGGCTGTCTTTATTGCGTAAATGAATAAATACCTTAATCTTAATTTTATAGACAAGTGAAGCTAATATAATAACAATAATTATCTCTTTTAAAATAGAGGGCTGAGGATGTATCAGTTGGGAAAGAAGTTGAAAGTTCCAGACTGGTATGATGATGCATTGTATATTAGCTTTATGTAATTACATACATAATGTATGTAGGGCAGGGAATCGATAAGGTCTATAAAATCTCATACTAAATCTGAGGAGGCTATTTGTCTTATTGAAGCCATTAAAAAGGATAATATTGGAATTGTTGAAGTGCAACTTAAACAAGGAGCTGACCCCAATATTGCTGATACTGTAAGTTTGTTGTCAGTATGATATTGTAATAGCAGCATCCAGTGCATGTACAGTGCATGTGCATATGAAATTAGACCTACTAAAAAAGGTTAAATATGTTGGCTGTTTAAAAGAATTATTGGCATCAAGCTAAGCATTAATAATTTTAATGTACAATATGGTTGGTAATATCTGAGGGTCCAATATTTGCATTTTCTCCAAAATTTTCTTAGAAGCTAATATTTAGAGGTACAAATATTATGGCTGGCGGCTATTAAATTTCTTTTCACTTGGATATACAGCACTATCTTCTAATACACAACTTATAGCAAAGATTCTGGCTTCTAATCTACACTGGCATATGAGTAGTAGCTATCTCATTTATTAG